CCTTATCTCAGAAGAAATTAGAAAAGCCTTCGATAATATAGGCAAAATTGCCTCAATCAAACCTCTCTTAATTGAAGGTACACCATATTTAACAGACCAATGGATTATTATATTTGAAACTACGATAATACAGAGCTTGAAGAAAGAATTCCATGTTTCTACATACTTATGGACAACAAAATTACCACAGAATGGTGCTTAGCCCCAAACTTTGCTACTTCTGCGATAAAGAAGAGCATATCAAAAAAGAATGTTCTCAATATCTACAAGCAGTTAAACTCCGTCTACAATATAAAGAGTTTACAGCGAACAAGAAGAAAAACAGAACCACCTCTTTTGAAGGAGAAGAAGAAAGTAACAAAACTCTAGAACAAGAGGTTCTTACAGAGGACCTAAACATAGACATGAACCAAACAGAAGAAACTCCTTTACCCAACTCTGAGGAAACTTTAACCAACTCAGAAAAGGTTAGGGAAGAGGAGACAGTAAACCCCACAATGATGGAAGAAGACTCGGAAGTTTCCAACAATGAAACTCTCAGTGATGTGGACAAAGAAAATGGCCCATTGTCAATGCTTCTAAAACTACAGTTGTAGAAACAGAAGAACCTCAAGCCCTAAACTCCCCTCTGGTACTAATTGCTAACGAAATTAACTTGCAGCCTCGTTGTGCTAATGCTGAAGAGGAATTCACCGTTGTCTCATACAAAAGAAAAAAAGACAAGAAAACTTCTACGAAACAAAAGGTGGAGCCAATCAGAAAGGCGCCATACAGAAATCCTCGTAATGGAGTACAGAACTTCCAGATCTAAATCTGTACTACTACTTAAGTTTTCATGACCAATCACATCAAATTTAAGATGGCAACTCTTAACGTAAAAGGGTTGAATAATTAGCAAAAACAACAGAAGACCTTAACTCTCTTAAAATCATACAAACTGGACCTAATTATGCTACAAGAAACAAATTTAAATGACAAAAATACACAAAACTTTCTCCAAAACCAATGGATGTTTGACTCTATTTGGACAAACAAAATAGCGATACTTGCAGGCAACAAAGATATAACCTTCAAGAATATAGAAC